TCCCACGCCGTTCGATCTCTTTTGCTTCGGCAGCAGGCTGCCGAACACAAGATAGACTGTGCCGAATCTGGATGGCCGAAGATGATCAAGAGACGCAACCATTCCGCATGCCTCTGTTGGCCCTATTCTCTGCTGAGCTGGCTGAGAAAGCCATCACGGCTGTCAGCAGTCAAGACTGCCCTCCAGGAATGCAGAGGATGTCCACAAAATCAATGTGCAGAGGAAATTGCACCCAGGAGCCACCGAGCTGCTGCTGCTGTCTCCCGCCCGGCGCCTTGGCGGCACAGAACAGCGGCACTTCTTGTCATTGCTGTTGCATGGCTCACATGGACCCCGACAGGCTTCCAGGCTACTCAACAACAGCATGCCCGCATCAGCCGGCTTGCTGCGCTGCCCCCGCCGCCGCCACATCCGCCAGGCGCAGCGACCCCGCCTGCCGCTGGTTGGCGCGCCGCGTGCCGCCAAAGTCACGCGCGTTGGTTTGGGCCGCCAGCCGGCTGCCAAACTGGATGGCTCGCTTGACCCGCTCCGCGGCGCGCGGCAGGCCCAGCCGGCGCAGGCAGGCGCGCAGCACGCGCTTGTCGCCGCGGCCGGGCGGCAGGCGGAGGTCGGCGACGTGCCACAGCGGCGCGCCCAGCACCGCGCCCACCAGCCCTTCGTCGAGGAACGGGTGCCGCGCTTCCCTGCACCCACGCCACGGCACTTGAGCACGGGGCGGGGGCGTGGGGGGCGGGCTTCATGCGGCCAGCGCTCAGGGCGGGGCGACGGCTGTCCACACCGGCAACCAGCCAGCACCTCTCCCCCCACGCACACTAACACCTACAGACAAACACATCAGGCTGGGCCCCACCTGCCGTGGTCTGCCACCAATCGGTCGTCGCGCCCCAGGTTGCGCAGCCAGAGGCGGCCCAGGTCCAGCCTCAGCTCCTCCTCCAGCCCCACCCACCCGCGGGCGCGGAAGGCGGTGCGGTGCCGCCCATACCCGCCGCACAGCTCGTCGGCGCCGTGCCCCAGCAGCACCACGCGCGCCGCGGAGCGGCAGCGCTGGCGGCAGCCCGCGGCCGCCGCCTCGGGCTGCTGCGCGGCAGGGGCAGGCTGGTGCGCCCCCTGCTGCTGCTGCCCTCCCCATGCCGCCTCGCTCTTCGGCGGCGCATCCCGCTGCTGCTGCTGCTGCTGCTCCTCCTGCCGCTCCTCCTCATGCTGCTGCTGCTGCTCGCCACCCTCTGGCTGCGACAGCACCCCCTCTCCCCGCGCCGCCAGCCACAGCGCGGCCCCAATGTTGAGATCCATGACCGTGTCGGCGGGGGCCAGCAGGCGCAGCAGGCGGCCCCGCGCCGCCTCCACATCCGCCAGGCGGCAGTCCACCTGCACGCATGCACGCATGCGACGGCGCGCTACTCAGGAGAGGGGCCGGCCTTCAGCAGGCAGGCTCTGCTGAAGGCGCACGGGGGGCGCCTGGGGGCCTGGGCGCGATGCAGGGCACCACGCACTGGAGGAGGCTGCTTCCCTCCCACCAACCATGAGCTCTTGCAGCCTAGCCCGGCCCATCCCAGCCCAGGCCCAGGCCTGCCCTCCTGCTCCCACCCACCTGGATCAGGCGCCAGGTGCGCCCAGGAGCCGCCGCCCGCAGCTCCTGCAGGGCATCCAGCGCCGCCCGGCGGTCGGGCGAGGTGCCGCCGTCAAAGCAGATGGAGGCGAGGTCGATGGGGGCTCCCGGTGGCAGCGCCTCGTGGGCAAGCGCCGCCAGCAGGGAGGAGTCGACGCCGCCGCTGAACAGGATGAGCAGTGGGGCGGGCGGCAGCAGCAGCAGCGGCGGCGCCAGCGGCGCGGCCGGCGACGCTGCGCCGGCTGGGCAGCCGCTGTCGGCTGGCCCGCTGGCGCCAGTGCGGGCGCTGCCGAACTGCAGGCCCTGCAGCAGCTGGCGGGCCTCCCCGTGCGCCTGCAGGCCCCCGCGTAGGCCGCTGCCGCCCGCTGCCGCCACAGGCGACTGCTGCTGCCGCTCCTCGATGCTTCCGCAGCGGGTTGCCACCGCCTGCCGCAGCGCCGCCATCACGGCATCCACCGTCAGCTCAAATGCCCGCTGCTCCTCGCCTTCATCGCACACCACCCCCAATGGAGGCCCGCCGCCGGCAGCTGCTGCTGCGCCTGCCTGCCCTGCCGTCGCTGCTGCACGCCCATCTCCGGCTGCTGCCGATGGCAGCGGGAAGCCCAGGGGTGGCTCCACAAGCTCTGGCGCCCGCTTGAACTCTGCCAGCCGCCGCATCCCGGGATCTGTCCACTCGTGGCGGTCATAGCGAGCTGCTGCCCGGCCGCTGCGGCTGCCGCCGTCACCAGCGGCAGCTGGGGGGGGCAGCTGCAGGCTGCAGATGCCGGGCGGCAGCTCCACAAAACCGCGAAACGGTACCGCTGGATTCAGCGGTGCCGACGAGCTGAGCATGAAGCGGCCGTCCTCTGGCCGGGGGAGGTGCAGCAGCAGGCTGCGGCGGCCTGCACGGCAGGGCAGCGCGAAGCGGGAGGCGCAAGGGATGCCCGGCGCGGCGGTGAGGCGTGCACGCAGGCGCAGCGCCTGCTGTCCTCCTTGTCCCGTATCTCGTGCACTTCAGGCGGCGCCACAGCCCGGCCTGGCCCCACCCACAAGCGCACCGATGGCGTCCCGCCCAAACCACAGCGTGCGCTCCGCAGCCTGCCAGAACACCAGCGCCCAGGGGCCCCGCAGCCCCGTCAGCAGCCGGGGCACCTCGTCCCCTGCAGCCTGGCTCAGCGCCTGGAGCAGCAGCTGGGCATCGTTGGCCAGGGGAGGCACCTCCAGCCCGCTGCCCGGGAACAGCTGTCCGTTGAAGAGCAGCACGCCGCCGGTGGCGCCGTCCAACAGCGGGCTGCGGCTGGGTGCTGCGCCCCGCAGCTGCAGCAGCGAGCCGTGGCAGCGCAGCACGGCGGCACCGCAGTGCACCTGCAGCGGCAAAACAGGCAGGCGAGAAATAATAGGCATGGGGCCCGTCTGCCACGCGTGCCCTGCCACCCGTCGAGGGGTGTCGCCGCCAGGCAGCGCCACCTACCGTGTGGCAGCCCTGTAAATCTGGCCCGCGACACCTCAGCCCCTCTTCAAAGTCTGCTGGCGCGGGACAAGCGGCCTCTGGGCCGCTGTGGGCTTCGCCAGAGCCGGCGTCCAACACATCTAGGCCGGTGGCAATCAAGAGGATGCCACACATGTAGACATGCCAATTGCATCAATACTGCACGCAATCCAGGCGTTCAACGCATGCATGCGCCCAGGTTTGCAATCCCAGTCACGTCCAGCGTGTCATCCCCAATGCCTCCCATCGCCCTGCATGGATCAGGTGCATCTTTCTGATTGGATGTCGCAATTGCAGGCCCCTGGGCACAGTTTGGTGACCCCTGATGGCGCGCCTCCAGTTGTTGCTGGCTGTGCTGGCTTGCCTAGCAACAGCTGTGCACGGCCTGATGCCGGAGCTCTCGCCAGAGCAGAGAGTGCACGCCTTCTTGTACTGCTGGCAAGAAGCCGCGCCTCCCGCCCGCGTCACGCCTCCCGCCCGCCTTGCACCTCCCGCCCCGCTCGACACCCTTCCCTTGCTCACCCCCGCCGCATTCCCCTTGCCCTCCTCCTCCTCCCCAGGTACGGCACCCCGGAGTTTGACGGCGCGTACCGCCACTGGGACCACCAAGTGCTGCCCCACTGGACCAAGGCGGTGAACCAGCAGCACCCCACCGTCGGCACGCGCTTCCGCCCGCCCCGCGAGCTGCACAGCCCGTTCTACCCGCTGGTGGGCCCCTACAGCAGCAGCGACCCCGCCACCGTGCGGCGCCAGCTGCTGGAGCTCAAGGCGGCGGGCGTGGGGGTGGTGGCGGCCTCGTGGTGGGGGCCCTCCTGGCGCAATGGCAGCACCGACTCGCAGGGTGTGTCCACTGACGCCGCCCTGCCGCTGCTGCTGCGGGTGGCGGAGGAGGTGGGGGTGGAGGTTGCTTTCCACCTGGAGCCCTACCCGGGCCGCTCGGCGGCCACCACACGCGAAGACCTGGCGTACCTCGCCCGCAGGGTGAGGGGTCGGCCGGCAGGCCAGGCACGCCACCGCAGCCAGCTCTTGAGCTGGCCCGCCCCTGCTCTTGCGCCCGCCAGCTGCTGCTCCGCCGATGCATTGCCGCCGCGCGTGCCCTCCCTTGCCCCAGGTCGGCGCCTCACCGGCGGTGCTCAGGGTGGGCGGCCTCCCGCTGTATTATGTGTACGACTCATACCACATACCTCCCCAGGACTGGTCCCGCCTGCTGACGCCCGGGGGCGCCCTGAGCCTGCGGGGCACAGAGGCAGACGGCCTCTTCATCGGCCTGTGGCTCAACAGAGACGATGGCGACTCGCAGCTGCTGCCGGGAGGGTTCGATGGTGAGCAGGGGAATGAACCAGACTGGAAAGGCTTGCATGCGAAACAGTTGGCTGGTCCTCCACCTCCGGACACCTGCAGGGTTCTACACCTACTTTGCCAGCGATGCGGTGTCATACGGAGCAGACCCGCGCAACTGGGCTGGCCTGAGCAGGTGAGGGAGAGGGCTGAGGCCCTGGCATGCTTGCCTCAGGTTGCCTCAGGCCCCTCGGTCCCGCCACCCCAACACTGCTGCTACCTGCCTGCTTCCTCAATTTGCCCATACAGCTGGGCCCAGCAGCACGGCAAGCTGTTCATCGCCAGCGTAGGACCAGGTTACGACGACACACGCATTAGGTGGGAGAGAAGGCGGCGCGGGTGTATGCCGCAGCGCTTGCTCGCCATCGGGATACCGCTGCCTGGCAGCTGGGACCGGCAGAGGCACCACACCGGTGGCTGTTCCTGGCCTTCCCTGCAGGCCCTGGAACGCCGCAGCGACGCGGCCGCGGCAAGGAGGAGCGGTGTACCGGCGCTCCTGGGATGCCGCCCTGGCAGTGCAGCCCTGGGCCGTCTCCATCACCTCATACAATGAGTGGGGCGAGGGTACCCAGATCGAGCCCGCCAGGGTTTTTGGTGACACCAGCGGCAGCAGCAGCAGCAGCGGTGGCGGCAGCAGCGGCGGCAGCAGCGGGAGCACTGAGTATGAGACGTACGGCGCTACAGCTGGGCAGGATGAGTGGCTTTATTTGAACTTGACTCTGCAGTACTCGCAGCTACTGGCGCAGTGGCAAGGCCGGGGGCAGCAGCAGGGAGGCACACCCCAGGCGCCTGGTGCCGGCACGCACTCGGAGTTGTGACTGGCAGCTGTGCCTGCCTGGCCACGGGCAATGGCAATGTGCTTAAACATGCAAACATGCCGCCTGCATTTGGGCTGTGGCTCGGCAAAACGAAGGAAATGGTGTAGAAGGAGCGAATCAGTGTTGTGAAAGCGAGAACAAAAGTGCTGGCAGTGCTGGGGGGAACTAGGAAGGTGCGGCAAGTGCAGCAAGCACCTAGCCGTTGGCAGTCTGCTGATCAGGTTGCTGTTCGAGGAAAGATGCCCTGTACGGCTGCTTGCTCTTGCATGCTGGGCGGCACCCCAGTCGGGGTGTGCAGCACCAGGGGATGGTGGCCAGACGCTGCCGCGACAGTGCTGGCCTAGCTGGTTGCAGCCGACACGCCTGTGGGCGCCTCTGCCTCCTCAAAGCCCTCCCCTCCATTTGCTGCTGGTTCTGCGGCGTCGCCACTGGCGGCAGCGGCCTCCTCGGCGGCAGCAGCGGGCACAGCCTCCTCGGCCGGCTCGGCAGGAGCAGCCGGCTGTGGCACCTGCAACGGTGCGGGGGGACAGCACGGCGATGTGAGCGCAGGTGGCGGGCCCCTGTGAATGGAGGCGTGAGGAAGCTCACAAACCACGCCGCAGCGGCGCTGCTGGGCGCTGGGCTGTGCAGCAACCGGTACGCAGGGTGTGCTGCAATAGGCGTGCACGCCACCACCGCCTCCTGCCTCCTGCCTCACCGGCACCAGCTCATACTCCACCAGGCTCAGGTTGAAATCTGCCTTGGGCGTGAAGCTGTGCCCGCTGGCCGCCTCCATCTTGCCCCACTGCAGGCGGCAGGCAGGCAGGCAGGCGGGGAGGTTAGGGAAGGCAGCAGGCGGGGAGCAGACGGCTGATCGGAACATCCCAGGGAGTACCAGCGAGGGTTGGCAGTCTTGCATGCGGGGCAGCACCGCCAGCGGAGCACTGAGCCCGCACCCACCTGGTTGACTGCCAGGCGCATGCTGCCGCGGAACATGTCGATCTTGGCGTTGCGCAGCGTCACGTAGCTGCCAGGCTTCATCAGCTCCACTGCAGGTAGCAGCATTGGCAGGTGGCAGGCACGCGTGGCGGCGAGTCGGCCGGCAGCACGGCGGTGGGCAGGGCGCACAGCTGGCTTCCCGGCGCTGGCAAGAATGCCACCTGCGGTGATGGCACACAGGCAGAGGCTGCAACAGGCAAGGCAGCCTGGCACCCACCCTGCTCGTTGCGGGCGGTGAGCAGGATGGTGCCGGTCTCGTCGCCGACAGTGCACTCCGCCACCTTTTGCGGCTTCAGCGGCCCTCGAGCTGGCTTGTCTACCACCACCTTGGAGTCCACCACCTGCAGGCAGAGCGGCTGATCGTGCTGAGATGGGAGCCGGTTTAGCGCGTGGGAGCGGGTCAACGCCTGCACGCTCAATGCCGCACCTTCACTACCAGATTATGACCAGAGGTGTCGGGCCTCAGCTGCTCCACCTTGCCAAACACGGGTGCGCGCTTCTCCGGCGGCCCCATGCTCGCTGCTGCTGCTGCAAGTCTCTGGCACGCCCTGGCCTCGTGGTGTTTATAGATCACAAGGCAGGGCAGAATGGGAGCGGGTAACATGCACTGGATAGATAGACACTGCGCAGCGCAGCACGCAGCGTGCTGCCGCCGGCCGCATCCTTAGAGAGTTGCGTCTGTCAAGCGTTGCGTCTGTCAAGCAGGGCACTGGCAGAGAGGAAGATGCGTCGCCAGTAAAGACCAGCATACCCTCTGCGGCAACGTTCTAGGCCCCAGAAGCAGTCGGTGCTGGCCCGCCGCTGCCGCCGTGTCCCAACACCGCCCTGCCATCTAGGCCTGCCATGCAGCAACTATACGCCTGCCTTACATCCCGAGCAGCAGCGCTCGGAAGGAATCGTCGCCTTGGCGGACACATAAAAACCGCGCGAGGAATGAATGTTATACAGCGTAAGGGCCCTGGGTTGGCATGACGATGTGCCATAGGGGGGCATGGGGCGCGCGCTCGCCACTGTCGGCGCCGCTGCCACAAGCCAGGCGGTGAGTCCTGAGGCCAGGCAAGCGGCGCGTCGGTGTGCGGGCGGCGGTGGCGGGTGAGGGTAAGTAAGAAGAAGAGCTGAGGAGGAGGCTGCTGCTGGGTGGTATGGCAGGAAAACTGGGTGGACAGTCGATTGATAGACGGGGCAGGCGGGGGTAGGACACAGGGGGACCGCACCAATAAAATGTGGCATTTCAAGCTATGCTAGCAGAGAGGGGGGGAGCAGACTGGATTAGAGAAGAGAGTGGGTTGGCCTACCGAGCGCAGGCGGCGGCGGGCGGCCGCGCCGCGCCCCGGAGGGCTTCCTACGGGGTGCTGGGGCGCACGTGTCATTCCTTGCTGAAGAGGGGTGGCTGCAGGCGGCCGCAATAGCCGCCGCCGCGCCAAACTTACGCTGCTGCTGCCAGCTGTCGCCGGCGCCGCCGCTGGTCAGTAGGTGACCAGCTGGCCCACGCGGCTGGGCGAGCGCAGCTTGCGGATGGCCTTGGCCTCGATCTGGCGGATGCGCTCGCGCGTGACCTGCGCCAGGCAGGCGGCAGGGGCGGGGGCAGGGGCGCGGGGCGTCAGCGCACGTGCAGCGGCAGCGCAGTGGGGGAGGTGTGGACTCGCTACATAACGCGCCGGGGCGGGCGGCCCCGGTGGCACGTCTCAAACGCGGCCCTGGTGCGGCCTTGCTGTGGGCGGGGTGCGGCCCGGCTGCTGACCGGGCAGGGCGCAACAGCCTCATGTGTGTGTCGACCCCGCCGGGGCCTCCAGCGCGCTCACTAAATAGCAGGCGCCCTCCACCACCACCAGCCCTCCCTCCCGCTCCCCTCCTTGCATGCGCTCACATTGAAGGCCCTGCCCACTTCCTCCAACGTCTTCTCCTCCCCGTCGTCCAGCCCGTAGCGCATCTTGATGATGCCGCACTCGCGCTCCGTCAGCGTCAGCAGCACGTGGTTCAGGTCCTCCTTCATCATGCGGTGGTGCGCCAGCTCAGCGGGGTCCTCCTGAGCGGGTGGGCGGGGAGGGGAGGGCAGAGCAGGCAGGGTGAGGAGGGGGCGGGATGCCAGGAGGGTCCGGGATGCCGGGAGGAAGCGGGATGGGTAGCAGGGGACAGCCGGGCACGGGCAGCAGCAGCGGCGAGCGCCGCCCGCGGCTCACCTCCTCCCCAACCTCCTCCACCCACTGCTCGCCGGGCGCCTTGGCGTCGACGGAGCCTGCCCCCAGCGTGGGCACGCCGTCGCGGCTGGTGGGCGCGCGGAACGACTTGTACAGCGCCATGAGCTTGGAGTGGGTGAGGCCGCAGCGGTCTGCCACGGCCTGCGGCGCGGGCAGCAGGCCCGTCTCGTCCCACAGCGCCTGCTCCGCGCGCCGCACCTGCGGCACGGGCAGAGACAGCAGGGGCTCGGCGGTCGGCGGTCGGCACATGGGGGGCATGTGCCCCTCGGGGCACGCAGCCAGCAAGCACGCGCGAGGGTTGCGTCGGCGGCTGCCGGGCCGGGGCAGCAACGGTCCACTGCCACCACTGCCGCCACCCCCACCGCCGCCACCACCACCACCACCCCACCACCCGCCTCACCTTGCCCATGGCCTCATGCAGATGCACGGGCAGGCGCACGACGCGGGCCTGGTCGGAGATGGCGCGCGTGACCGACTGGCGGATCCACCAGTGCGCATAGGCTGGAGTAACTTGAAGCCTTGTGGAGGCGTCAAACTTGTCCACCGCGCGCTGCAGGCCCACCATGCCCTCCGCTACCAGGTCCTGTGGGGGCGGGACAAGGGCGGGGCGGGGCAGGAGCAAGGTGGGCGTGCAGGCCGGGGCAGGCTGCCGCGCGGGCTGCCGCGCAGGCTGCAGGCACGCTGCTGCGACTGGTGCCTGTGCCCTGCCGCGCACTGTGTGCCTCCTGCCCACGCCAGCCTCCCCTCCCTCCCTCCCTGCCTGCCTGCTCCCTCCCTCCCCCGCGGCAACGGCGGCTGCTCACCTGCAGCGCCAGCCCTCGCCCCACATACTTCTTGGCGATGCTGACCACCAGGCGCATGTTGCAGTTGACCATGTGCTCGCGCGCCTGCAGGCCCAGCGCCAGCCGCCGCCGCACCTCCGCGCCGTCTGCCACGCCCGCCGCCGCCGCCCACTCGCCCATCTCGGGCGCGCGGCGGCGGTCGCGGCGGAAGCGCTGCGCCACCTCAATCAGCTCCTGCCTGTCCACCACCATGCCCGCCAGCCGCCGCTCCTGCTCCGTGGTGAGCAGGGAGGAGGTGGAGATGGAGCGCATGAAGGCGAGGGGCTCGGCCTCCAGGCTGGCCGCCGCCGCCGCGCGCCGGCTCAGCCCCGCCGCCAGCCCGCCCTTGCCCTTGACCACGGGCGTGGCGCGGCCCCACTGCCGCGCGCGCTGCGTGCGCGCCGCGCTGTGCAGCGCCGCCCCGCTGAAGGGCACCGCGCCGCTGCTGCTGCCGACCACGCTCGCACCGGCCGGCTCGCCGCCAGAGGCGCGGCTGCTAATGGTGGGCAGCTTGGCCGCCGCCGCCGCCGCCGCCGCCGCCGCCGCCGCTACCACCGCGTCCCTGCCTGCTGCTGCTGCCGAGGTGCTGGCGGCGCTGCGCCCCGCCCGGGTGGACCCCGTGGTGCCCTTGGCCTTGATGCGCTTGGCCCGAGCGCGCTGCTCCACCTTCCGCCGCCGCTCATCCTCCTTGCGCCGCTGCTCCTCCAGGCGAGCCAGGTCCTCCTCCTGCAGGCAGGCGGAACAGGGCGGGCAGGATGCGCGGGGCGCAAGCTAGGTCAAGCCGGGCCAGCCGAGGCGGCGCCAGGCAAGGGACACCCGGCCGCGCTGCACGCCCTTGCTGCTCACCGTTAGCATGCCAAGCTCGCTAGTGCTGGCCACGGCGGAGTCCAGCTCGCTGGCCAGGCCCTCCATGTCGTCCAGCAGGCTGAAGATGTCCTCCAGCGCAGAGTCGGCGTCGGAGGCGGCGGGCGGCGACGCCACCGCCACCGCGCCCGCCGCGTCCTCGCTCGCCTCGGCCAGCGACATCTGGAACGACTTCTCCAGGCGCTGCACCTCCTGGAGCAAGAAGCCCTGGGGAGGCTGCTGCTGCTGCTGGTGCTGCGCTGCCGGCTGGCCCACCTCCTGCGGCAGGGCTGAGAAGGCGGCGGCCGCGTGCGGGAGCGCCGCAGGGGGCTGCACCGGCTTGCGCAGCGGGCCGTCGCCGCCCACCAGGGACAGCTTGGCCACGGTTGTGGCGCAGCGAGTTCTCGTGGCCCTCAGTGAATGCCGCCTGGTGGAGGCCAGCACTGCGGCGCCCAGGCAGCCGCTGGCTGCTGCCGCCGTCGTTTGCATTGTGGAATGACTCAACTAGTGGAATGTGCTAGCCCACGAAACAGGAGCGTGGGTGTGGTGCGCGCGCACAGCCCTGCGCCGGGTTCTGCCGCCCCGCTGCGTCACAGGCACCCCAGGTGGTTCAACCTGAAGGGTGAGAGGGCGATGAGGGCGAGGCGGGGAGTTTTGTGGGCGTGGGGCAGAGGGACAGGGCGCCTGGGACTAAGCCGCTGTCGACGCCTGCCGTCGATGGAAACCTTGCTAGACAGGACCCGCACGCACTGCCAAAGCGTGCCGATCAACCAGTTTGGCAATCCTGGGGGCGCAGCCAGCACAGGCCTCACAAACCCTGCTCGCTCTGGCGGCGCGCTGCAGCACGTGGGGCACAGCAGGTGCCCCCTACCAGGGCACACGTTGCACCAGGGCTCCCCAGGACCCTCCCAGAGCCTTCCTGCACCTCACGGTTCGTTTTGGGGGAGCTGCCAGCAACAATGCGCCTAGTGTGGACGTTTCACAAGGCGCCGCCATCTGGCGGTCGGGCCAACTGCTGGCCGCTCGTCTCTCCTGCAGCAGTGGGGTGTTCGCTATGGAAGTCTTGCTACAATACAGATGACACTGATTGTTCATTTTCCAGGATGCCTGGCAGCAATCGAGGAGCCTGGCGAGCGCCCGTGTGGCGTCGGGCCGCTGGTTATTACCGCAACCCCCACCAAACCAGCAGAGTGGTGTGTTACAGTGTGGGGCTGCTTGCAAGCAGCCACATGGCATCAGTTTGGTACACAGCTTGACCAACGGGGTGGCAGGCGCGGAGCCCGCGCGCCTCGGCCCAGCACATCAGTGCTCCTCGCCATGGCTGCCGTGCTCCTCCTCGTGAGCAATCTCGTGCTCCAGGTGCGCCGCGGGGCCATACTGCACGAAGGGACGGGCCAGGAGCGTGAAAGGCAGGTTTCACGCTACGTGTGCGGCTCAGGCGGGCAGGACAGGCAGGACCGGCATGCACCGAAAGAGAGCAGCTGGGCCGTCGGTCGGGCTCACCACGAAGTGGTCAAAGTCGTGGTAGAAGCGGTACAGCACCCAGAACCTGCAGGTGCAGGGTGATGTGGGCAGGCAGAGAGGTGTGGGGCAAGGTGCAGGGGCTGCGGCAGCAACTGTGGGCAGCAATCCGGGGCCTGCTGGGTCACAGCTTCTACGGCTGTGCTTCAGGTCTGCCCCTGCTGCTGGATGGCCCACCCCCCCTGCTCCGCCTGCAGGCTTGGACGCTCACCACATGAGGCCCGCAAACCCCTGGCCGGTGTACTTGTGCCAGCTTGCGGCCTTGTGGATGGTGAGGCCCTCGTGGGTCACGCTATCGTGGTGGCCGTGACCGCCTGCAAAAGGGAGCAGAACCGCAGCGGTGCGGAAAGAATGAATAGCTGACAATAGGAAGGACAGGCAGCAGCTCCTGTGGCAGGGATGCCTGCTTCAAACAGCACCGTGTGTCCGGCACCGCTCCGCCCCGCCTGGCCACCGCCCGCCCCCGTGGCGCCACTGCCCCACGCCCCCTCTCGGGCCTCCGCCGCTGTCCTGCGCCCACCTGCCGCAAAGCCACGCGTCTGCTGGCCGCCCTGCTTGGCTGCCCGGGCCAGCTGGCCCTCCTGGCGCAGCAAGTTGCGGGTGGCCTGTGCGCAGGCGCCCGCTGCCCTGGCCCAGGACGCCATCTCGGGAAGGTGCGATCAGCAGCCCCACAGCCTGCTCCGCCCCTCACTCCTTGGCAGCAGGGCTCGCGGAGCTGGGGAGTTTCTTCAGCACGACAGCGGTGCTTTGAGGAGGACGCTGCAGCCGATCCACCTATGCTGGGGCACCGGGTGGGGCCGCAGCGCCCATGAAGGGAGCAGGTAGAAGGGAGGAATAGGCGGCACGCAGTGGAGGCGATTTGCAGGGTTTGGCGCCCAAATTGGGCCACTGCGAGCATCAGCCGATTCTCCATTGAGCCTCTGCCCGCCCCTGCCGCTTCCCCGTTGATCGGCCTTCCCGCATCCCTCCCAGGCTCTCTGGCTGTCCAGACGCATTGCCTGCCGCCAGTAAGTGGCCGTAGTGTTGATGCAAGTGAGCCCCGTCATGGCTGCCGCTGCCGTTGCCCTGTTGTTGCGCCACCGCCCGCCGCCACCGCACCTGTTGACCTCCCGCCGCCGCTGGCTCCTCTTGCCAATTTGATTTGTGATCCCACCGGTGTGCTGTGACTGACAGGCCGTGAGCGTGGCTGCCGCAGAGGACGTGCCATGGCGGAGGAGGAGAAGCGGCAGATCGCGCGCACCCTGAAGCAGGAGTATGACGAGAAGCAGGCCCGCCTGCGGAACGTGGGTCGCATGGCAGCCTTGCCCTGCCAGCTGTGCTGAGGGAATTCCTGTGCACACACAGGCTGCGAGGACGCACCAGCTCTCCTTGACCTCATGCCGCCGCCATGCACTCTCCCCACCCGACGACCCTCGCCCCGTGCCCCTCCCCACTCCCCTCTGCTGCAGCTGGAGCAGCAGAAGCGGGCGGTGGAGGCCAGCCTGCGGCGAGCGGCCTTCACCGCGGCACAGCTGGATGAGATGCCCGAAGACGTGCGCACCTACCGCGCTGTGGGCAAGGCGTGAGTGCAGGCGGGCCTGCCAGGGCTCAGCCCTGCATCCCGGTACCCCCTGCCAGACGCTGGCTGGAGCAGAGACGCGTGGTGGTCCAGCCAGCTCGGCCCTTGCGCCTGTAGCCCTCTGCCTGCTGATGCAGCTGCCCGCCTGCCCGCCGCCCCGCCTCGTGCAGCTACTTCCTGCAGCCCAAGTCTGCCATCATGGGCCACCTGGAGGAGGCGGTGCGCGGCAGCGACGGCGAGCTGAAGAAGCTGAGCAGCAGCCGCGAGGCGCTGGCCAAGGCCGCGGACAGCCTGCGGGGAGAGCTGACGGAAGTGGTCGCTTCGCTGCGCCGCGGCTGACCCGCCCCCCGTCCCCCTGCTCCCCGCTTGCCTGCCTGTGTTTGCTGCGCGCCCGCCGCTCTGCTGCATGCTGCCTCCAATGCTCTCCGCTTCTTGCTGCCGCTCCGGTATGATGCCTGCCCAGCACCTAGAGGCCCTAGAGGCCGCTCCAACTGCAGTGCTGTTACACGCAGTGCTCCGAGCACGCCACTAGGGGGGCGACAGGCAATGGAAGAGGCATGGGGGGTGGGGGGGGGGCAATCATCAACCGGCAGCAGCATGGCATCTTGGCAAAAAGGGGGTGGGGGAGAGATGCCCATGCTGGGAGGCAGGAACAGAGGGAGACAAGACATGAGCAAAACATGGGAGGAGAGGGGCAGGCGCACACACACTCAGGGGGGGAGCATATAGATGGGGCAAGCGGAGCAACATGTGCAGCGCCGACCAAGGTGTCGGCAGGTGCATTGGCCGAGCGCCGACAGCAGGGGTTGTGTACAGGAGCGCAGCGTGGGCAGCAGGGATGGCGGCGGCAAGGGCAGCCGCACGTCCCGCTGGCTGCACTCCTTGCCAGTGCAAAAGGGGGGGGGCAAATGAAATGGGGCTGCCCCAGCGCGCGCGCGCGGCGGCGTGCGCCGACGCGTCGCCTATGTGGCCGCCGCGCCGCCGGGGCACGCCGCACAGCGCCGCCTGGGCCGGCTGGCTCCTCGCTCGGCCGCCGGGGCAGGTCCAGTCCAGAGGTCACAGTGCGGATCCAGAACAGGGCAGGGAGGGTGGGTGGGGCTGGCGCGGGGCGCGCGGGATGCGGCCCAAGGGGGAGCAGGCGGCGGCCGCCGCCCAGCCCTGCTCCCCGCCACGCCGCGCCTCAGCAGGGCCGCCTCCTCACGCCTTGATATCAACCAGCTTGATGACTGCAGCGGGGGCGTGGCGGCGCGCGCAGGCGAGGCGGCGTTGAGCGCCAGCTGGCAGCAGCAGCGCGGAGCTGGACCGGGGCGCAGCCTGCGGCCGGCCAGCGATCGGGCCCTGGCATAGCCCTCCGCGCCCTGCCCTCTCCGAGCGCTGCTCCAGCCGTGCCCAGCACAGCCGTGACCAGGGCAGCCAGCCCCAGAAGCCCACCCACCCGAGGCGTTTCGGATGCGGTGCAGCGCCACCACTCAGTCCCCGGGGCGTCACAGGTTCATGTCCTTGGCGTGCTCCAGCGCCGCCTGCAGGATCTCGTCGGTGGTGTCGCTGTCGCTGGCCCTGCGGGTGGGAGGGAGGGGAGGGGGAGGGGGCAGGGAGGGGAGAGGGTGGGACAATCAGGAAGGGGTGGCACGGGCAGGGAGAGGGAGGGAGGGGGCGGAGGGCCGGGCAAGGGAACAGATAGCAGCAGGGCAGGCGCGGCGGCACGCGGCTCGAACCGGCCACGCCCGCAGCCACACCCACGCCCGCATCCCCACCCGGCACGGCACCCCCACCCGGCACCCCCGCCCCAGCCCACCTGGCGGAGCCCTCTGCCAGGATGGGCACGAGGCCGCGCGAGGACAGGCACTGGCGCGCGGGCGCCTCAGAGGAGCACTGCCACGTCAGGTTGTCGGTGGTCAGCACCGGCACCACCACGGTCAGGATGGGCACCGTGGGGCGGTACTTGGCCACCAGGCGCGCCGTGGCGCCCCCCCGCGTCAGCACCACCACCAGGCTCGCCTGCACCTTGTGCGCGGTGCGCACCTGCGCCGCAGCGGGGTGGTGTGTGTGTGTGTGGGAGAGGGGCAGGTGGAGGGGGCAGGTGGAGGGTTCCAGCCAGCGGCGGCGGCTCCACCACCGTGCCAGAGCGCAGGCCAAAGACCCGGCAGCAGGCCCCCCAAT